TCTGAACGAGCCGCAGAACGCCTTGCTGCTCCGATATCACGGTGAGTTGCTATAGCTAATGAAATGCGGTTCTTTACTAAATACTTTGCATTCGTATCAGATTTGGTCCTACAAGTTCTTCAGGCAACACCGGACAGCATCGAGTCAAAGACCGCCCACGAACAACTGCAAGCTATGCAAACGGAAGTCGTCGAGTTGGCGCAGAATTTTACACGCGCTTCGGTTTCTAAGGCTGATTGAGGAGGCTCCCGCCTTGCCTGCTTGCTTCCCAAAGCATTTAGCTATATCTTTATTAAAATTGGTTCTGGTCCGTAATAGATTTTGAAATTGTTACATTTTCATAGTTTATAAATTGTTTTTATTATTGCTATGCATGAGAGTCGCCTAAATACAATCAGTAAAGATACAAAACGATGAGCCTTAAACAGAGTTCCAAACTTTATCACTTTCAAGGTTTATGTTCATAGGAAAACGATTTAGAATTGATTGGATTGGAAGGGCTTTTACTCAATTTAGTTTGGTAAGCTCAAGCTGGGCTTTAGAAAATGTCTTACTGAGCACTTGCTATTTATATACATGGTTTCGAGTCTTAAGATACAAGATTTGCTAACAAGACAGATATTTGTTGTGCTTTTCATGCGTTGTACAACGAGTATTTGATTGTTAGATTGATGTGAGCGGTAAGTGAACGGTAGTCCCTGCACTTTAAAAACTATGAAGTCTTTGAAGTATTTGTTTGGCCTTATCGCTGGATTGCCTAAAAAAGAAAAGGGAATTAATGGTTGTTAAATATAAAAAAGTGGATTTTATTTCTTACATAAAAACTGGATTGCTTGCATCACAGCTCTCTATAGTTTGTTTTATGTATCCTATAAAAAGCTCCAGGTTCTTGAGTGTTTCGCTGTTGGGCAATAACCAAACCGTCGGCAAAGTATTCACAATGATGTAAGCCTTATTGATGGCATCGTTTGGCGTGCAGACTCGCATAGCTAAGAGTAAGTAGCGATTCAACAATGCTCCTATAGCCAGCTCCCGCAGCAATTTATCAGCCAGAATGCCCTGCCAACTTAGAAAGTTGCGGAACAGCTTCAGGCCGCTGCAAAATTGACGCTGGAAGAACGACGTCTTCGCCTCTTGCACTCTGAATTAAATGAAAGGAAACGTCAACGTTGTGACTAACATTTTTAGAAAATTGTCTACTTACTGTTTAGGAAAGATGGGAATAAATACATCGTTTTCTAGGGCTAGCCGCATGCGTTCCATGATGGACTCAAAAAGTTTGTTAAGTTGCTTATTAGTCCCGCTTAACGGAAAGTCGCGGCCCAACCGATTGATGAATCCAACCAATCTGAGGGTCTGCGTGGTCGACAGAGGGTCCCAGCATTCCGTGACCAGAGCTACAAATTGATTAAACACTTTCTTACAGCCGTTTTCGTAGAAGAGGTTAGAAACTCACCGGTAACCTTGGGTAGCACAATCTTCTCGATGAGAGCCGGCACCAAATTTACATCCGGATCGCTCTTGAGCTGCTCGACAGTTTCATCTGGCTGGCAAGCATAGAGCATGCATGCCTGATACCACCGCATATTCTCTATATCCGCGTACTCATCCAGCAGAGGCGACCAAAGAACCAGTTCGTGGCGCACCAGTGGCGCCAATAGTTTTGGAAGGCACAGACTTACGAATGCATCCTGGTACGAGGACATGTCTGTCTTTCGCCATGCATAGAACTTCATAAGGATCAGCTCGATCTTGCTAAAGTCGTCGGTAACATCCTCAAAGGCCTCCACCGACTGGGATTCTATCTGCGCCGTGGCCGCCACGCTCTGTTCCTGCTGCTGGTCGGCGATCTCGTCGTCACTGGACATTCCATCCAGGTGGGAAGAGAGCAAGTCGTTACGCTCCCGCTCGCACCGGCGACGCGTCCTTCGACCCTCCCTTTCAGCGGCACGGCGTACTTGCTCTTCGTATTCTGGCGCACGACGGGAAGCAGCTGATGCAGGTTCTGAATAAAAGGAAATTTATTAACGTATTTCGATAGGAAAGGAACATCCTTTTCATACTTGCTGCCTCGGCAATTTCCTTGGCCTGATCCCGAACATCCTGCCGCCTTCTATTCACAAGATAGCGCTGGTTTTTCCCATACTGTTGCAGTGCCCGTTTCTCAAGATCGTTGATAACTGGTGTCTTTTCGGACAGGCAGTCTACCAGGTCATTCACATAGCACTTTACTTCCTGGTAGAACTTGTATTTGGCCGCCGCTGTTGGTGCGTTCTGCTGGCACTCCAGCTGCTGGAGCTTTAATGCCTTCAGTTCGATACTAATTCTCGCCATACTGGCGGTGTGATCCGCCGATCGCTCCTTAAGCTCGCTAAGACGTGACTGAATGGCGGCGAAAATTTCCTGTGGCGTTCTCAATGCCGTAGCTTTGGCCTTCTCCTTTTTGGTCTTGGCAGATGAGCGCACAGCTGCCGCTAAATTGCTGCGGTCGAGGGCATTCTTCGCATAGGCCTGCTCCAGCAAGGTGGATGTGGACTGCGGCGCCGTTAAATCTCCGTCATCCATGCCGGTTCCACCTCCGGGGGTTGTAGGTTTGATCATGAAACGGGAGAGCACGGTTTCGTGTTGCGAATGCACCAACTGGGCAGCAGTGACACCCTTGCGGATCTGCTGGTTCTCCCACTCGTTCATCTCGCGGTCAGAGTCTCCGTCGGTGGCTGCAGAGGAGTGAGCAAAGGTTAGCAATAGTTAACAAATATCACCTGTGTTTGGCCTGGCTCGGTTTCTGGCCGCGAATCGGACTGGGCCCCCTCTACATACAATCATTCTCGACGGCATAGAACTGCTCGCGCCGCTCTTCGCGCTCCTTGCGTCCTGTAATGTCGTTCATGTCCATGCGCTCCTCGTCATCCGATTGGTCGCCCTCAACGTCTTCGCAAGGCAGGCGGGTGCTCAGTTTGGCCGGCTCCTTGGGCTCCTCAACGGGTATGTAGTCGCCTGCACCTGGAATTGGCCACACAAATAGGTTAGCCTTTTTTCTAATTGTAGAAAATCGATCTTACCCTGCTCTCTGGCCCTTTGGCGACGTTTCCGGGCAGCGTGTATCATTGCTGCATCAGGAATGGAACCGCTCTCCAGCATCTGTTTCAAATGTTCCGGCTTGGAGAAGCGGTGCCGTGTCTTGTCGTGGCCACCATCCTCTGATTGCATGTCGTCTTCGTCGCTCACATCCTCCCGTCCGGCACAAAGGGCGGCCCGACCATTCAGAATTGCCTCAGGAGTTTCTGATTTCTTTACCACTAGCTGGGGGACAAGGAATAAGAACTATGTTATTGGGGATCTCAAGAGGATTTTGTTTAGAGTGTTGCTGAAGTATTCATGCTGCTTGTAAGGAAGGAAAACGTGCGATCATAGTCGATGGTGGGAAAAGTACCGGTTTTATAACTAGGTAGATAGAGGGCTTTGTAACTAATACATGGCTAAAATAACTTTAGGTGTGGTAAATATTGTTAAGTCTTGGCCATTCAAAATATTTTGTACATTTCCATTTGTAAAGTAATTGATTTACTACCTAGATACTTCCCATCACAGATTACTTAAAACGGCAAACAAATCAATGTCTAGCTACTTGTTTTTAACAACGGCCATAAAGCCAACAAATTAATCTAAACTCTAAATACACATTTAAACTCATTCAAGCTAGTCGTGTAATCTTTGCTCCTAATCATTCTACGATAATTTAGTTGTAATTTCTGATGTTGAAAATTTCGTTAAACGGTATTATGGTAGAAGAAATTGAATAATAATAACCTTACCACAAAGTCGTCTGTGCGTATTTCGGTTTGGATCATATGATTATCACTTTTTTTACTTTTACTCTGATCGCTGGCACTTTTATATCTGCCAGCATTGGCAGGATTCGAGTTGGAATTGGCAGGACCCACAGATGGTCCACCGGACGACTCTAAATGCTGTGTACTACCATTCTCGCCACCGGGATGTCCGCTGTTTTCCGCCCGCTCCTCGCGCTTCTTCTTGCGGCGCTCCTTGTCCAGCATGCGCATCACTTTCTTGCTGTGCGACGATTTCCGCACCTGGAACACCTCGCCGTCGTCCTCTGCAAGGACGCAAGGGGGTTGCGGATTAGGAACCCTTCTGATCATTGCATCCCGCCATAACTCACCATCATCAGCGAAGCTGAGCAGCGCCTTCGGTTTGCTGCTGTCCTCCTGCGGCTTTATGGCCTTCCGGCTCTTCTCTTTGTCCCTCTTTCCGGAAATTATGGGAGGCGGAGGCGCCTCCATTTCGGCGTCCGGGTCCAAGGATGTCCCGTCCTCCTCCTCGTCCGCGTTGCTGGAGAACACGCGACGCTGGATTTTCTTCGGCTTGCGAAAAAGCGACATTTCCCACGCTGCAGCTGCTGCTTTGGGATTTGTTTAATCAATGAAAACTCGGAAGAAAAGCGAATTTTCGCAAAAGTTCTTCTTCTTGCTGTCGTATTGTAATAGTGATGGAACTTGAAATATATCGTGCCCGTGAGTTCCGAGTAGAGGTGGAAAGGGCACGTTGTCTCTTTAGTTCCGATTTATAAATATTAGGGGTATTCCCTAAATTGATTAATTGTTGAATTGGTCAGCTGTTCCATACAAATTTCATTTTTAGAAATTTAATCAACTAAAAGACGTGCTTTGACATATTTTAGTTGCACATGTTCGCATTAATTTGTAGTTCTTCTTAGCTTATTATTATTGCTATAGAGTGTTTCAAATGGAATTAAATATGTTTTAGTTCTGAAAAATCTTACCTATTTGAAAATTTAACAGGAGCTATCTTGAGTCGTTACGTTAAATTCTGACATGTTCCGTTTAGTTTGTAACATTTTAACGTATGACAGATTTAAATTTTCTTTAAAAATTTATTACCCCAGGCTAGCATCAATAAGAGCTGGTAATACTGAAATATCGGCAGATATGTACTTTATTTGTTCATCCCTATATACGCACAACTCCCATCACCAATCTTGATTTCGGCGTTTAAAAACAGACCAAACTTGTCGTTAATTTATCGGTGCTTTGGGCCACAGAATCTCAACAATGGGCTTAAAAGGTTGTGAAATACAATTGGATAATCCGTGGAACACCTACTACGCGGGTCAGACCGTCAACGGTCAGGTGATATTTACATTTGACTCGCCCAAAAAAGTTCGAGGTAAGTGCAAATGAAATTACTTTTGTGGGCAGTGCAAGTAAATGTTAATTAAAAACCCAGATGCGTTCTATTAGTCATAGAAGTGACACACCTTTGTTTGGGTCAGTGATTAATTGATGTTTTGGGTATATAAATATAGCACACTTATCTATATTATGTATAATGTGCAGTTGTCGTTTTTCTTTGTTGCATTACTAAGATTTCCTGTAAATCCTGTCACCAAAAGCCGGTGCCCACCCAAAAATGTGGGTTGGTCTTTTAGTTTTTAAACGACCTTGTTTTCACTTATAGCTTAAGGCTGTTGACCCTTTCAAATAAATGCACTTTCTCCTCTTCCCAGTTGGGCGATAACAAACTATAAATAGCTGCATGTGTGAACACAAAAGAAAGTAAATAAATAGATTTGAAGGGGGTATGTAACTTACGAATGTGACAAACATTCCACAAATTTTGAGGCCACCAAACACGGGTGAGCGATGCTGTCTGGTGGCGATGATGTCATCCGTTGTATATGCCGCGACGAGCTTTTCATATTATTTATAGCTAAAATTAAACAGCAGCAGTGACGTCGTAGATTGTCATTCGGTAAATACAGCCACTTGTTCCCCGTAGGAATCATCATCCGCTTCCTGGGAGAGGCCAACACAGAGTGGACAGAGGAGAAGAATGTGACCACCAGCGAGGGAAAGACGGAGAACGAGGTGACTCAACTAAAGGGCCATGAAGAGTATTTCAAGATCCAGTACTATCTGCTGGGCGGGAAGAACAGTAAGTACACACAAATTTATAAAAGACTTTTCCTAGTATCTTCTTATGACGAGATTTACCATGTCACAGTCTTATATAGTTTTTAAGGTTCAGATCGACTTAACTGTAGATCCGGTCCAAATTTTAAATTGTACACGAAATAAGTGATATTTTTCGTAAATTAAAGTGCAATAAAATTTTAAAGGAGTACAGACTACAGAAAAAATATATGTGATTTTAAGGATAAGTACAAATTAAATATTATACCTATTTCTCATCAAAACATCATTAAAATAATTGTATCCAAGCTAACATATTTTTCATCGAATTTTTAAAAAGCTGATTGTATACAGAACTATAATATTTAAATAAATAATGGGCTTTTTATAAAACCAAATTGAATTTGTTAGAGAATCCCTGATCTTGAAAGCGTTTAAATTTAGTTAAAAACATTAATCACTTATGTAATACCTTTAAAAAAAAAGCTTATGAACCGCGATATGTACGCCCGTTCTTTGACAACCTATTGACCCTTTGCTTTCATACTGCGCGTTCGGGAGTATATTTAGGGTGCCAGGACAAACGGGTATTAGTGGGCAAATGTTCGAAGTCCTTCAGCAGTGTAAAAGATTGTCCCAAGAGTAGGAAGAATACGATCCCAGCGGTCAGAAATTGTCAGCGAAAGAAACGAACTAAATGATTTTTTTTTGTGGAATATTTTAGCAAGGCAAATACGCTCTTATCAATTTAGAATTGCAATAAAGTCAGAACTATATATACCCAAACGTAGTACGGATGGTGATAACTAATTAGTAATTATATATAGAAGTTTTCACAAACATACTATAATTTGTTAATAAGAATGCTCGAGATCTACTGCTTAAACTACGGAATTGTAAAAAAAGAAATTTTAGACTAAAATTATTCCGTTTCATAATGATTAAATTTAATGAAAAATGCCAAATATATTGAAAGAATTTAAAACATTTTGGAGCTATCGTGTCCACCGGCTTCAAAGCCGTGGTTTCGAGAAAAACGCCCAGAAGACCTTAAAACGATTTACTTTTCAGTGGAAAGTTTCCACCAGTAAGGATGACAGCATCTTTTTTCTGAGGCTTTTATAATTTGTAAGTACTAGATCGACAGAAATTACATTTTTGCAATTTATAATGCATAGTTTACGTATTACAATAAATTTTGAATTTACTTAAAGACATAAAACTCTAATGTAACGCCGTCTGCTACTTGTAAAAGAACGTTTAAAAGTCCATTATGGTCTGCGATTTAAACGAGTGTTCGTTGACTCTTGTGCTCTCTTTCTCCATTCGGGGCGTTCGTGGGTATAATAAGGGCGCAATTCCTGGACTATTGTGTAGGAGTCTTGAAAATCCGATGGATTGAGCTCCTGCGGCAGGGTATATGATTGTCCCAAGAGCAGGAAGAATAGGATCCCAGCGGTGAGGAATTGTGATTTCATCGTTGTCAGCGAACGAAACTAACTAAATGATTGATTCTATAGAACGTTTGAACAAGTCAAAATAGCTAACTAATGTAAGTCAGAGCTATATACACCCAGAAAACAAAATGGACTAAAAAGGGGCCTAATTACCTAAAATTTTAGGAAATATGGCCAGAAAAACGCGCCAAGGCCATGCATTACCTAAAATGTTGTCCATGTGGACTATATTTTGTACGCAGTCTTGAATTTATTTCTGGTAATGGTTACCTAAAAAAATGGCTAGTGGACTAGATTTTTAGGTCAGAATTACCTAAATATTAGGTATTTAAAAAAAAGCTAGGATTTTTACTATTGATAGTAACATATTTGATTATTTTAATTGCTTATATTGTATTATTCGGAAAAGCAAATATTTTATCTTTCTGAAAAAACAATCACTTTATTTTGTCCTCGGTGGGAATCGATCCCGGGTCTTCTGCGCGAGAGTCCAATAGGCTAGCCTCTGGTCTACGGAACTACTTAAAGGCCCTGCGGCAAAACCAAAGCCTGCTTCAAGGGGCTCAGGCGAATTCTATTTTTAGAATAGGGCACTATTACCTTAAAAGTAGGAAAATAGTCCACGTAGGTATTGATTTTATATATTGAAACTTTTCCATCACTAGCTTTAAGAAAAGTCTAAAAAATTTTTAACATTAAACTTAAAAAACCGAATAATTTGTTTATTAATATTAGGGACCAATATTTGTATTAAGTTGTGAGTGATAATCGACTTTAAATTATTCCTAAATTTTAGGTCTTATGGACCAATTTGAAGGTTACGATGGCCTATAAAAATCTCTTTAGCTTTACCTAAAAAGTAGGAACATAGTCCACATGCTAATATTTTTAGGTAACCCATTACCTAAATCTGAAATTTTAGTCTATTTAAATTTTTTAGGTCATACGTTACCTAAAAAATAGTCCCACATTTCTCTGGGTGTACATATACTAAAACGTTGTACCAAAGATAACTGGATGTGTGCGGAAGGTGATACCCTAGCGTGTATAAATGTGCCACAGATTAGAAGTTAATATAAACAAGTATAATCGGGCCAATTAAATCAGAATATATACAAAAAACGACTAATAGGTATATTTAAGAAGTTATAAATACTTATTTAACAATGAAGCTAATTATAAATTACAATTTTTCAGGTTCTGAGACAGAACTTCCGCCTGGAACTCATACTTATCCATTTACCTGTGCCCTTCCGCCCAATCTTCCCTCCTCCTTTGAGGGTGAATTCGGCCACGTGCGCTTTACCATTAAGGTGACGCTTGATCGTCCCTGGAAATTCGATCAGGACATGAAGATGGCCTTTACAGTCATAGCACCTGTCGATCTGAACCTCAATCCACGCGTCAAGGAACCTTTTAAGCTTGAGCTGGAGAAGTCCTTCTGCTGCTTTTGCTGTCGCTCGGGACCGCTGGCCGTTATCACGAGCATACCGCAAACAGGATTCGTTTCGGGCCAGATACTGCCTATCACCTGCGAGGTGGACAACACCAGCAATGTGAATCTCACCGCAGTGAAGTTTGAACTGCGCAAGCTGGTCACCTTCCACACGAATCAGCCTCGGAGCGAGAAGCGTGAGTCCAAGGTCATCATAGCCAACTTGAGTGTTGGCCCAGTCAATGGAGGAGAGTCGCGCACATTCACGCAGCAACTGGAAATTCCGGCGCTGCCACCGACCAACCTTCTCAACTGCGGGATTATCGCTTTGGACTACGACCTGCACGTGGAGTGCGATGTCAGCGGTCCGCACCGCAATCTCACCGGCAAGGTCCCAATCACCTTGGGCACCATTCCATTGGCTGGAGTAAGGCCACCCACCCAGTTTACAGATGCTCCTTCGGCCGTCCAGTCTGAGGATCCATCGCTGGCGCCCACACAGCCAGTAAGTCCGGCCAGTCCCCCGGGCGGCGATGGCGTGGGTGGTGCACTGGGATGGAACGTGGCTGACAGCACTGGTGGTGGTGGTTCCCTGTATCCCAATATACGTGAGTATGAATTCTTCTCTATAAACTAATAGAAGGGCTTGAAAAATGCGAATTTGTATTCCTGCATCAATCAACGTCAATTTTGTTCACAGTCTACTTTCTTTGTCTTTTGATTTTCTAAATCAAACTTTATAATACAATAGTATTTTTTACTAGAAATCTTCCTAATGTAAGTAAATTTACTAGAAAGTTGTACAAATTGTTAGAATTTCATTTATTTCGACATTTTATTTATTTGTTTTTTTTTTTAAAAACAAAAAGTAAGTAAGTAATGAAAAGTAAAGACAGTTAAACCCGAACAACTTTGAAGCCAAAAACCATAGGGGAGGATTCTGTAGGTTGGTACACCTTTTGTTTTTAATCTGCCATTTCGACATTCACTTATGAAACTTTACGCATTTGGTACTAATCGAAAGGTTAGTCTATAAGCTTAATAAAAAACACAAAAAAAAATTTTATTTCTTAGGGAAAACTGAAAAAATATTTTTTTTGAAAAGTCCCAAAAAACGACATTTTGAAAAAGAGGTCTGTAAGTTGAGACACTTTTAAAAGTCAATAATACTCACACAAAAAGTACTCCAAACTATAAGGAACTATTTATTTATGTTAATTTCATCAATTTTAGTTCATACTAAATTATTTCCCATCCATTTTTTAAGAACTTAGACCAAATAACAATTAAAATCAAAAGGCTCTTTGAACATTCACTTTTCCCCTAATATCAAAGAAATGTACTAGGCAGAAAGCGACCTCTGTTGGCCTAAGGCCTTTTTGTATGAAAAACGGGTGTCTCAACTTACACAAAATAGGATGTTTCGGGAAAAAATTAATAGCTTTTGTTCTGACTGTCACATTAAGCTGATTCTTTTTTTTATTAGTTAACAGTTAATATACTAATGTTTTAAATCTCTTACCAAGTTAATTTAAGGACGTTATTAATTTTAAATGGAATTTTGAAAAAGTAGACAAAAACTTTTTTGGTGAAAAATGGTACACGACTATCACAGCTTTAATCTGGCTAGAGCCTGGCTTATAATGTTTTCCCCAAAAGTTTTGTCACTAAAAAGGACTACAAAAAAAAATAAAAACAATTTTTTTAGTGGATAAGTTTTGAGAAAATTGAGTGTCTTAACTTACAGACCGTCCTAACCTACAGACCTCTCTCCTATATCCGATAATAAAATCGTTTCATTTCGTTAGCTTTTTATTGATATACTAAGCTTAAATTAAATTTGTTTTTGAAGCTCTTCGAGCTTATTAACATATGATAAAACTCTGTACTAATAAAGTTTTATAAATTTTTGCAGCGCCCCCACAGTTTGTGGAGACCCAGTACAAGGCGCCGACCATCGCTGGACGCGACGACTCTGAGCATACGCAGATAATCGGTGACGGAGCCTTCGCTCCCCGCTATCCGACCTTCCAGTTCAACAATGCCACTGCACCGCCAGCGAACCAATGAACGAATCTCTCAAACAATGATATTCTACAATAGTTAAACTTTTACGCGAGCTCACAACAGAGCGAATTGTACTCAAATTTTTTTTCTAGTTGCCTCTGGAAGTTTGATGACTAAATGATATAAGATATGGGGTATTGAAGAGGAATCTTTTCTTTCGTAATTTTGATCGGCTTTGCATTTATTGAATAAAAGCTTTCCGTCCAAAAAGAAAGCACAAACTGCTGCAGTCAAAAGGTGAACTTGCAAAAAATAATAAGATATAATTTGAATTCAGTTTTTAATGTTATATTCGTTATAGTATACCTACATACAAATATATTTTTAATAATTGAAACCATTACTTGATTAATTAGTGGAAAGTATCAAATCTGTCTTGGATCCAATCTAAAGATTGTTATTGTTATATATACCTGTTATTTTTGTACTTTAGGGACTTAAAAGAAAAAATTTTATTCTTTACCCTTTTGACTGCATCTGAATAAACAATCGTATATACGCACAATTTAGTCAATTCCGATTCAAAAATGCAATTACGCTGCTCAAAATTATTTTTCTCATTTTATAAGCCAGCAATAGTGCCTGAAATTGATGTACGACTATAATCGTAATAAAACACAAAAATTAAAGAAGAAGAATGGTTACGAGGGCACAGCCAAAGTTGTTAACTTTGCGGAACTAAATTTTGATGGGAAATCTGAGAATTTAGAACCAAGGTACTTGTACAACTTCTACTTCTTCTTTTTCTTGCAGTACTTCTCCAGTTCTTTGGCCTTCCTGGCTTTCTTTTCGCACTTGCACTGTTCCTTTAGAACAATTTTTTTGCATTTGGCCTGTAGCGCCTTGATTTTCTTTTTCTTTTGTCTTATCTTGCTTTCGGCTAGCTTCTTGCATATCTGGAAGAGTCGGTTGGGATCCTTGGGTGGTGGAGGTGGGGGAGGAGGTGTTACTGCAGCTTTGGGTGGTGGAGGGGGTGGGGCTGCAGCTTTGGGTGGAGGTGGGGGGAGGAAGAGTAGCAGAGACTTCCTTTTTGACCTCCTTTTTGAGTTCCTCCTTAACTGCGGTTTTTGCCACTTTCACAGCTTCGCCGGGGCATTCTATGGGGCATTCTTCGACTTCTTCTTCGAATTTGTATTTTGCGCATACGTCAACTTTCTTTGGTTGTTTCTGTTTATTGACTTTTTCGCACATTTTTTTCTTTGCGTTCAGATCGTTTTCAGCTTTTCTCTTCGCCTCCTGAGCTTCTCGGCAGGCTTTGAGCCTGGCGGCCTCTTCTCTTGCCGCCTTTTCGCATTCTGCCTTAGCTTTGGCGGCCTTATCCTTTTTGGCCTGTTTGCGGCACTTTTGAATTGCGGCGACTTTCTTGCACTGCTCTTTCATTTTCTTGAACTTGGCCTTTTCGGCAAGGGCCTTGAGTCTTTTCTGAGCGGCCTTCGCCTTCTGCCGCTGCTCCTTGGCCATCTTGGCACACTGTCTCTTTATTTCGCACAGATCCTCTTCCGGCCCTTTTTTCGCCTCCTCCTCGGCACGTCGTCTTGCCTCCTCTTCTGCCCGCCTTCTCTCTTCTTCCGCTCTCTTCCTGGCCTCTTCCGCTCTTCGGGCGCATTCCTTCCTTTCTTTCTCCTCGCGACAGGCTTTCTTAATGGCCTCTATTTTGGCCAACTTTTCACAGTTGAGTTGATCGGCCAATTTCTGGATTTGTTTGTTTAGCTTTTCCAGCTCTGCCTCTTCGTCGGGGCATTTCTTGCTTTTCTCGCCGCCTTCCTCTTCTTCCCCTTCCTCTTTGTCCGCCGTTTTCTCCTCTTCGTTCGCTTCGTCCTCACTTCCTCCTCTTTCTTTTCTGATGCACTTCAGGCACTGCTCCATTTCCGCCTTTTTCTGACATTTTTTCGCCTTGTTCGCTTTCTTGCACTTTTTCATTGCGGCCTTTTCTCTGCACTTTTTGAGCTTTTTTTCGGATTTGAACTGTTTGCACCGCTTTTTGAGCTGCTCCTTGTCGTCTTCCCCATCATCACCCTTTTTTCCACCACCCTTGCCACACTTTTTCCCCTTTTTTTTACCCACACTCTTGCCTCCTCCGCATCCATTTTCGCATCCATCGGCGGAGCTGGCTGTTTCGGGATTAACTTTCCGTTTCAAGGACATTTCAAGGTCGGAGAACTCGGCATTGAGCATTCTTTGCTTCAGCAGCTGCTCCAGATCCCCCAGGAATGCACATCGCAACGGCTGATCGGGTCGTGGGCAATGAAAATCACTGGTGCCTAAACAAAAAAAAGAAACTTTAAAACTGTAATATGAAACAGAACCAATCATCTTGACATATATTGGTCAAGTTGTTAATTTGAATTGGTATAACCTCAGTAATAACCCACCTTCTTGGGAAATCTCATTTCGCAGTCTTAGCGGCGCTCTCCAATAGTCCTGGTTCGATTTTTGAACAGCTTTCAGGTCCTCGTCGAGTGTTACTGCGTTATACATCCAGATGGACCTGCAGCAATTGCAGGCCCGGAAACAAGCATCCGGGTAGTGGCACATAGCCAATGAGGCTCGTTTTAACATAATTCCTTTTAATTTTGCTGCTAAAAGTCAACGGATAATTTTAAAGCCAAAAGACTCTTTTGAAAAGAGTTAAACTAAAAAGCTATGAAAATTTTGACCCGATCTGCGCCATGATATTCCTTAAACTGGAAAATAATTACTCTGAATTTGACGTTATTATCGAAGTTATTTAAAATAACAGTTATTTGTGATTTTTATTTTAAAAGGCCTCCTGAGACTTGTACAAGTTTTAATCAACAATTTAATTGGTTTTTATGCACTTTATAGACATAAACAAATAACACTTTATTTGCTTTCCAGATTTGTTGAAATGCAAGAGTAAAAAGAACGTTATTTTTGACGTTTAAAAACAAATATCACAGTAGTCTTTTTAAAATAAAAATCACAAATAACTGTTATTTACGGTCCCTGGTCTAAAATCAATCGAAAATACAGCACTGACACGAAATCGTAGAAAATCCAAATCACGAACCATTTCAAGTTTTCCATGATATTTAAATGCTCCTGAGTAAAAGTCCCATACAAAATTATTTTCAATTACCTATGGGCTGCGCGGTATAGCTAAGAATACAAAAAACCGATGTTTGCCGTCATTTTGAATTACGTGCCTTGACCTATTTAAAATTTTACAACATTTAGGAGTACATGGCTATAGTATCATAGCTAATTCCCCAACGTCCCATATACCTATAAAATAAAATTGTTCAATTGCGTTGCAAACGTTGTAAAGTGTAAAAGTGTAAGGCAGTTCCAACAACTATTTCTATACAAAATAGTTTTCAAAAGTAGGCCTTGAAAATTGTTTTGTATAGAAATGCCTTTTCACACAAACTTACATTTAAAGTAGTTTTCGAACTGACATTAATTTCGTGGCCTCTTTTTAAAAAGTATTGCACCATGTTGAAGGTTACAAAATGTTCATTTAACCAGCTTTTATAATTTCGTTGTCAATCAAGAATATCCCGTATTCTACATACAAATATCGCCTCCATCGAAAAGTTAGTTAACATTCCAACCGAAAAGGTCGTTAAAATTTGCTGTTATTACCATCTGTCTACAGAAAATAAGGGACGGAAAATAATGTATTAAAGTCGCACCAAAAAAATACTTTTAGAGTATTTTATTTGCGAAAGGATAAACTAAAAGTAAAAAAAAAATATTTTTTCATTATAATTTAAAATATTATTAAAGCTTTTCATTCTCAATATACGAGTTGAAAAACCAGATCGGCTAAGCCCATGTTTGAAAAAATAGTACTCCATATTTTATCCGGTAGTAGTTATATTAGAAGTCATTTAATTTTGTTTCCGTATTGACTGCTACGGGTTCACTTTTTCTTGCATTTGTCCTTTTGAGCCTTTTTCCTGCATTTCTCTTTCTCGGCCCGTTTTCTGCATTTCTCCTTTTGGGCAAGTTTTTTGCACTTTTTTACCATTTTTTTCATCTTTTCCTTCGCTGCCAATTTTTTGCACTTTTCCTTTTTTGCTATTTCCTTGCACTTTTTGTTCCAATCAACCTTCTTTACCTTACACGGATCCTCTTTTTTGCAAGGATCTTCTTTCTTGCAAGGGTCAACTTTTTTGGGTTTCTTAGCGCAAGGATCTTTTTTTGGGCATGGTTCTTTCTTCGCACAAGGGTCTTCTTCTTCGCAAGGATCTTTTTTCTTGCTCTTTTCTTGTTTCTTCATTCCCTTGCATTTCTTTTTAAGTCTATCCTTTTCACACTTTTCCCTAGCTGCCAGTTCCCTGCACTTTTGCTTTAATTTTTCTTTTTCGGACTTTTCTTTTTGTGCCAGTTCCTTGCAGACTTTTTTTACATCGCTATCGTGACCTTTCATGGTAATTTCCCTGACTAGCTTCTGACTCGTTCTCTTCATTATATCGAGATCTTCAGGCTTTTCTTCTACTAACCACCGGTTCGGTCCTATCCTTTGGCCATGTTGCTGCTCCAGATCATCAAGGAACTGTCGCTGCATCGGGTTGGCGAGTTCAGAGCATTCGTGTTTCTGGACTTGAATCACTCCCATTAAGCCATCGCCGCATCTCTTAGGCCTCTGACAAGAAAGGTCATCGGGCTTACAGATTTCTAAGCCAACCAATAATATTAACATTTTAATCAAGGTCATAGGATCAAGTCTTACCTTCATTGTTTAGGTTTGCAAGAACCTTTAGGTGGTGGTTTCGACTAAAGGAAGGCAGTGTGCACCGGCTTAGAATCAACGCGGACCTCTTAAACATAGCAAGGTAAAATTTTAACGTTAATGACCAAAAATCACAATAAATTTCGAAAAAAAAAGTGTAAAATTTCTTGTTTAGTCTATAAAAAAAGGGACTAAACTAAATAAAATATCAAAGACCTAACAACTAGGAATTTGAGTGACGTTAACACCAAAGGTAATCTGTAAAAAATGAAAAAAAGAAACAAACTTCAATGGTCGAACGAAGCTAATAAAGCAACGCATCTTATTGAGATGCATTGGATACTGAAATATAGTCCCAAATCTCCAAAACATCAGACTTCCAATTAATACCGCAAGGGTTAGTTAGTTATATTATATCAGCTATAGTTAGTTATATTATTAGCATAATAGTCTAGCCATTCGTTAAAGCAATCTACCATAGCACAATATTTTAACGGATTAAAAGAACTTGTGAATGTAGTATTGCATTATGAAAAATTAAAAACAGAATTTTCAAGCTGCTCCGCCCAATTGGCTAACCTTTATTTAAAAACCACAACTGTAGATAGATCCGCATCATACCGAGTTAAAAGTAATTTAAAACATTTATTAATTAAATTGTTTGATCCGGGTAAACTTAGATTGGTAATTTACTTCTTTTTGCACGGGTCTTTACATTTATCTTTTTTGGCCATCTTCTTGCACTTTTTTAGCATTTTCTTCATTTTCTCCTTCTTGGCCATTTTTTTGCATTTTTCCCTTTCGAGCATTTCCTTGCATTTCTTTTTCATATCACCGCCGTCCTTCTTGCAGGGATCTTTTTTCTTACAGGGGTCTTTCTTCTTGCAGGGATCTTTTTTCTTACAGGGGTCCTTCTTCTTGCAGGGATCCTTTTTCTTTTTGCAAGGATCCTTTTTCTTCTTGCAAGGATCTTTTTTCTTTTTGCATGGATCCTCTTTTTTTTTGCATGGATCTTTCTTCTTTTTGCAGGGATCCTCCTTTTTCTTGCAGGGATCTTTTTTCTTTTTGCAGGGATCTTCTTTTTTCTTGCAAGGATCTTTTTTCTTTTTGCAAGGATCCTCTTTCTTCTTGCAAGGATCGGCTTTTTTCGCCATTTCCTTACACTTTTTTTTCAGTTTATCCTTCTCACATTTTTCCTTTTCTGCCAACTCCTTGCACTTTTTTTTCAACTCCTTCTTTTTGCACTTCTCTTTTTGAGCCAGTTCCTTGCAGGCCTTTTCGATGTCGCCATTTTTACCAGCCATACTGATTTGCTTGGCTAGCCTCTGGCATTCCCTTTTCATATTTTCGAAATCTTCATGCTTTTCTTCTTTTAACCATGGATTCGATCGCTGCTCCAGATCGTCCAGAAATTGTCGTTGCATCGGGCTGACGAGTTCAGAAAACTCGTGCTTCTGGCCGCCGAATCTTGTATGACTCTGATTAGGAAGGCCATTTGGATTGCCGATGTCTATGCCAATGGAATACTTTTAACGTTATTTTAAATAAAAACACTATCACTACCCACCTTCATTTTTTAAGTTAGCAAGAACTTTGAAATGCTTGAACCGTATAGAGGTGGGTTGAACGCATCGACTGCAAAAGCAGTCTTTTGCGTATCGACCTAAAACCAACGCGGATCTCTTTAACATTTTATGATAAAATTTAGAATTTTTATAGAAAATTAACTAATAATTTTGAAAAAAAAACAGCTCACAAAAAATGGTGTTTAGTCTTTGAAAGTAAGGCCTAAACTGATTTCCATTTAAGACATTTCTTTCAACTTAATCGGAATTTGAATGACATTAATATCTAGGATAACCGGGGCCAAAGTAAATAAATAAGAACGACCATCACATGGTGGAGATAATATATATACATGATTATACCGCAGCTGTAATACCCTTTCAGATTTTACGAATTAAATCCACGTGGTGACGAAGCGCACTACTAAACACTTTACTTTCTTTTTGGTCTCGAAGTAAAAGAGGTAAAAGTGAATATTTCGAAACGTTGCGCTGTAGGGATAAAAGTCCCCTTCTTTTAGAATAAATTAAATATACTTTCTATAATATTACAAAGACCGACAGAATTGGGTTTTTTTAGTTAACCTTTTTAAACTTTTTAAACTTGGCTGTGACTTTTAAATTTTAAATGCGCTTACATTCTCTTGTGGGTAAATTATATTGAAATTTCAAAAACGACCATTTAGAAGAGACATGTAACTATTTAATTCCGAAAAGTGTAACAAAATGTGTTGACTACTCTTCAAGATATATCCCAAATCACAAACAAAAATTGCGATTTTCTTAAATTAAAGATACCGCAAATACCAGACCTGTTGGACTATAGGCGTAGTAAATTATGTTTAGAAAAGCCTCATTTATCGAAATAAAATGGTGGCAAGCCTGGATAAAACTTCTGTTGGCTTTTGTTATCATTCGCTGCAATAGAATGCCTTTGTATGCGAAATGAGAATATTTCCGAAAGTATATTTAGTCGAATGGTGTTATCAGAACTTTTGTATGTTGAGCGTGCAACCGACCCTTCTTTTTTACCACATTAAGAGGTTTATATGTTTGATTTAACAATACAGTAAAATATCTATCGATTTATTTGGCCTTTCCGCTTTTGAAAAACGTCAAAGAAAATTTGTGATCTTTTAAAAAAATAACGGCACCTAAAAATAACTAATAAAAGTCTTTATCCACTCGGGTGAGAAGTGAAAGTAAATTTTGGTATTCCAGAAGTGTATAACAAAAAAGATGCTCTGAAATGTCCCCATAACCAAATTCAGGATTCAGAGGTAACTTTTTATAGGTTTGTCGCAAATTTAACATCAACATTACATTCAAGAAAAAACGTTTTCAAGAATAAAATTCTTTGCAACCACAACCGGTAAACTCAAGTACATAAAAGCTGGGCAAATTTTCCTGTAGTTTTGATTATGCCAGCAATGAAAACACTTGTATTTACAATGCTTTTTACCATTTAAATTTCTATATAAGCCCATCATTACAGAAAAAGTACCCCACCAAATTGTAATGGTTGAATAAGTAATTTTATTGAGGTAAAATAACATCAGTAAACCAAATCGTAAGTCCTTTTAAAGAGCATATTATTAGACATTATTAGTTGCTCCGCATTGATTGGACCAGATCCAGCCAAAATGCTGTTCTATTTCGATTCCAGAAGGTCATCAGATCGACCCCCCTGATGTGGGAACATTTTCAGTACAGCCAGGTATCCATTTAGATTCAGATCGACATCTTCGCGTCTACAACGGCAAGATGGGCACATTATTGGACTTTGCTTGAGTTGTTTTCCGCCTCTGGAATGATAGAAAACTGTGCCCCCATCGGTTAGAGCTTTTAGTCTTGACCTACAAACAACCTAGGTCGCTGCCCAGAGTTTTATTTATACTTCTGAATGCTTTCATTGCTTGACTGCGTAGTCGCTTAACTTTTACTATCAAAGTTGAGCCGACGCTGATTTGCGACACCTTATCAGACCCCGGGGTGGTATAAAATTTTAATTGACTCTGAATATTTTCCTTGTTTCTTACGATGTCGCGCGAAATGGAGCTAATCTATATACTACAGTTAGCTGGGCGTCAATCACCTCGATATGACATTCAAAAAGGTCTCTGATAATAGTGGGCTGTGTATTTCCGTTCTATTTGCCCCCAAAAAATGTGTTCTGCGCTTGATATTAAATTCGAAAGATGATTTATGTATTTTATATTTTAAGGAAAAACAATAAATTCGTTATTACTACGTTTAGGAAAAATAAATATATCTTTTCCTAATTTGTGTGATTTTCAAACAATAAGGCAAAATTCTACAAACTATAGGACAAGAATCTAGATACTATATATACTACTAATAGCTAATTAATTAATATAAGTGTACTCTATAGTAGTTTGGGTGGGTCTGATAGTGCCACATATAGACTGACGTAAACCGCTTTCGGTTCAGTGAACCCAAACTTACCCAGAGCTGTCGGAAGAACCGAGACACGCTGGCGGAGAAGTGTCGACTGCCGCAGTCGTCGTCGTCCTTTTCCTTCGTCAGTTCCTTGAGTCGCTTCATCTTCTTGGCACACTCCTCTGATCCGCCCAGGATCTTGATCTGCCTGGTCTGCTGCTTCTCCCGCAGAAGCTCTCGCGGCGATTTCTTGGGCGAAGAGCATTCGGGCGAGCCTCCTTTTATTTCGGTGTCATCATTCTTGGCAAACAGTTCAAATGTCGGAGGTTCTAGCACGGGTTGTTGTAGGCGATTGATCACCAGGGGTTCCTCCAGTAGATCGGCTTTTTCTTCGGGGGCTTCGGTTAGTATGTTGCTGGCGGATTTTACGAATGTCCTAGACACATTCTTTGACTTTGTTACCTTAGTTTTACTATAGCCACTCAGCGTTAAAGTCCGCATTGGAAGTGAAACCTTGGAACTGGTGCTCAGGTGCCGTCTACCCGTGAATGAGGACATGCGTCGCTTGCCCTCGTTGCTTTTTCCTCTGCCAAAGATCCTGTCGAATAGATGTTGGATGAGGCTCTTTTCGGCTTGCTGTTTTGCCGGCGGTGGCGCTGCAGCTGGTGCTGGCACCTCAGCCGTAACTTTGTCCAGCAACTTCAGGGACAGTTCCCCGTCATCCAGCTGTGGCTTTTCCTTGTTTAACTGTTTTTCCCGGATCGGATCCTTTTCGTTGACCTTGATTTTGGTCTCATCCACTGCCGTGGGTGCCTTGACTTTAGCTTCCTTGATCTTAGCTTCCTCTTTTTTAGGCTTCACTTCTGGCGCCTCTAGGCTGGGAGTAGACTCCTCGGCTTCTTCAAGTTCAGCTTTGCCCGCTTCCAAAGGGGCTGGGGAAGAAATCTCTGGGGCTATTGGATCGTAGAGATCGCTAGGTGTTAGCTCCGAGGTCGTTTCTACTTTGCTTTTGGCCTTGGAATGAATTTTGTCCAATCGTTTTGATTTTTGGGTGACATCGGTCCTGCTACCACTTTCCCCGGCAGCCTTTACGAAGGACGAAACTTTCTGGGCTAGATCAAAACTTTTCTGTTCAACACTCTTCTCATCCTTCTTTTCGCTTTTTTCAGACTCTGCCTGTTTATTCTGTTTATCCTTTCCTTCCTCTCGAATGGTCGAATCCAAGTTACTAAGTCTAGCAAAATAATCTTCATCGGTCTTGTCTTCGTTTTTCTGAACCTTTACATACTCCTCTTCTCGGATCGTTGAGTCCAAGTCGCCTAGTTTGGTAAAGTGATCCTCAGTTTTCTTGTCCGAGTCAGTGTTATCCAATTTTCCTTTTTGATTAGTGGTCCCAATTTCGTTTTTATTGGACCCTGATGAAAGCATGGCTAAAACATCTGTTTGACTATTCTTAGTGGCTGAAGAGAGTTCTGGCAAAGTCCACAAAGAATCCGGCTTATCATTAAATCTTTCCAATGTGTCGAACAATTCTCTGACTCTGCCCTCCTCATTCTTAGCCTGGTCACTATCATTTTCGTCCTTAAACATGGCCACAATTTCCTCTGTTGACTGATTTTTAGGTTCTTCGTGAGCGTTGGCAACGATTTTACGATTTTCCGTAGCATTCGATTTTTTTGAATCTGCTGATGAAGATGCCCAAACATTATATTTCGAATTTCTAGTTGAAGTAGGCTGACTGAGGATAAATTCTGTGGGCTTACTTGCTTCTCTCGTGACATCCAATTGCGTATTTTTATTCGACTTAAGTTCGGTTGAAGGTATTGGTTTTAACGTTTTTTTAAACTCAGTTGGGGCTTCGTGCTTGGGTACTATTTTCAGTGGCAATGATAATTTCGGGTAGAAATTAGTTGTATTTTTTGCGCTTATGTTTTGACCAGAGGGACACGAAACTGAATTGGAAGAGGTTGAGTTTTTAGGTACCCATATATTATTTTCCTTTACCAACGTTTCAATGAAGTAGGAGTTCTTTTTTCTATCACACTCGGCAGGTGCCGGAACATCCTTAAGTTTGTTTGATTCGATGGCGGATGCGGCCTTTTTCTCCACCAACTTAAAATGTTCTACCCACTTCTGGATCACATCCCTGTTGCTCTGCTTTTCCTTGACTGCGTCAGCCGCTCCTTGGAAACTCCTTTCCTGAATTTTATCTAATATTTGACTAAATTCTGTACTTCTGTCGCTAAGCGTCTCCAAATTGCCTTTAAACCCCGAAATCTTGCTTTCCCCAGGCATATTAAATGTGGAGCTGTGACCCCCTTCAGAAGTTTTCGCGTTACTGTTCTTAGGCTCACAACTTCGTTTTATGCCTTCAGTCGAGGCTATAGACTGAGTCAAGGTCTGAGAACTTGCTTTGCCTGTTTGGGGCTTGTGTAATGAACTTGGCATAACCTTGAGATCGAGCCTCCCATTTGAATTACGTGTCATAGAAGACGGTTGTTTCTTGGATTCTGTTGAAAGCTGAGATTCTTTCGAGTCGGTCTTATCATTTGATTCAGCTGGGTTCGAATCCTTAGAGTTTATCTGAAATGGAGTTACAAAGCCTTGAGCATTTTGTTGTGCTGTGGTCGTGTCCATGGATTTGAGCTCCGCTTTAAGTGGAGGCTGTTCAATTAAATCAGAAATAGACGCTGTCAGGGACTTGAGCTCGGATTCAATTGCGAATAAGTCTTCTATTTTGGGCTCATCTTTTGACTCACTGCCTGATAACGAATGATACTTGGGACTTTCTATAAGATCAATTACAGTAGAGGTTGGAAAAATCTGAGGCTCAGATTTCGCGTCAAAATCTGCAGAAGAGAGGTGTGCATCTTAACATTCGAACTTTCATCCTAGCTTGGCTCACCTTTAGCTTCTGTACTCTTAAACGGAGACCCATGCTCAGCCACCTTGCCTCCGAGTGTCTCATTTTTTCCCAAAACATTGCCCGAAGATCCCGGTAAATATTTGTTGTCCGAGCTGCAGACAATAGTGTGTGGATTTGGGGGCTTGACCTCCGGAGGCGAGGGGTGGGAGCGATGTGGCTCATCCTGGATGGGCAGTACCTCTGGCCTGACCTCGTAGGGCGACTCCGGTCTTCGCTCCCCAGGAACCTTGGGCGGATCTGGTGGCGCCGCTGTCGTCTCCAATGCACCAGCACTTTGGTTTGAATCTTTGGTTTGACCCAAGCCATGGCACACCCGATCGGAATTCTTCTTCTCACCGGACTCACCGGATCCCGAGGAAGTGCTGTGCCGTCGGCGTCCGTGGTGCAGTGGATGCAGACTTAGTGGTCGGTAGGACGAGCGGAGCAGACCAAGGCAGTGAGTGGTTCGGCGACAGGCCGCGATACCGCCGAAAAAGAAGCCAGCCATTTGGTTGCTGAAGAAGGGGGTCGACTGATACACTACCGGGAACTCGACGAATTTGGTTTTTTGGAACTACTGTGTGTCTAAACGTTAGATTTTGACTAGAGCCTATTGATTGTGGTGCAATAGTGTACTGTGTTTTCTATGCTACATATATTTATCGGCTTATACAAGAAATTAGAATTTGCGAGGATTGTTGGTGTCGCGGGGCTGCACGTGGATCATAACCTTGATGGCGCCTCCTAGTCCCTTTCGCGAGGTTTCGAACGCCTTTGCCGTGTCCTTTATGTCGAAATGATGCGTCACCAGTCGCTTTACATTGACTTTTCCAGAAGCCACGAAGGCCAGGGCAGCGGCATAGCTAAAATCATTGGAGTTTAATCAAAGAACCTCTTTTATGAATTCCACACCTACTCGTTGCAGTATCGGAAGACACCACGGATATCCACTTCGCGGGCCAGAGCATTGATCAGAGGCAACTTGACTTCAGCAGCTCCCATGCCCACCACCACGACTATTCCACCGGAACGAGTGGCCTGCAAAAGAGTCGGAAATTTAGCTTTACCAATTAAGCTTGACCTTGGAAGATAACATACAAAGATGGCCAAGCGGGCACTGCTCTCCGCACCACAGCAATCGACCGCCTTGTCCGGCTGACCGCCCATGATTTGGCGGACGAGCTCCGCCGTCTCCTCGGCGGTCTGTTCCCGCTTCAGCAGGAGCGTGTGGGTGGCGCCCAGCTCCTTGGCCACGTCCAGGCGCTGCTGCAGCAGATCCGTGATCAGGATCTCAGAGGCACCCATGGCTTGAGCAGCCTGCAAGGTGGAAAGGAATTTATGATCTTAATTTCGAATTTTGAAAAATATTTTTAATATGTATCTATTCAATTAATGGAAATAGTTGTATTTAAAGTATTGGTTAAGCGGATAAGATGCCTCTCAAAGCAAGCTTATGTTTCGCGTACTGATTGTTTTAAAGGACCATACGTTTACTTATATTTGCGGTCATATATCTAATTCTAAATAAGAAATCATCATTTAATTTGTGATTATTATAAAAAATATATAATTATGATTATAAAATTATATATTTGTGTCGATTTTATATTTTCTTGGTCCTAAAAAGCCTTCGAACTAAAATAATTCCGTTATTGTCGGGTAGCCCTGATCTTCTTTCGGGAAGTTCTTAGCGAGTATTTCAACGAACTATAAATTATTAAATTATTTAAAAACAAAATTAATTATTTAGACTTTTAATCCAAGTTACTATTTTTCTATGGAAAAAGGCCAATATATTTTGTTTATTTAGGATAACATACCATAAGAGTGACCAGGCCGATTGGTCCTGCTCCCAGGATGAGAACTTTGGAGCCCAAGGTGACCTCTGCCCGCTTGCAGGCGTGCACGCCCACTGATAGAGGCTCGAGCAAGGCGCCCTCTTCCATGGTGACGTGGTCGGGTAGCTTGAAGCAAAAGTCCGCTGCATGCTTGTAGTAGCGGGTGAGATTGCCATCGTAGGGGGGCGTGGCACAGAAGACCATGCCGGGGCAAAGGTTGTACTTGCCCTCCTTGCAGTGGTCGCAGTACCGACAGGGTACTCCCGGTTCGATGGCCACACGGTCGCCAACCTTCAAGTTGGTCACCTTCTTGCCCAACTTGGTCACCACTCCAGCGGATTCGTGGCCAATGATCATCGGTTTGGTGAGCACAAAGTCACCAATTCGTCCGTGAGCAAGGTAGTGCACATCAGAGCCGCAAATGCCGACACTATCCATGGCCAGGAGAACCTCTAAACAGGAGAAAAGCCATTAAGTACAGTATTGATTCCATAAAAAAATTCCATTCAATTGTCAGAATATTTATAACTTTTTTATACCCTTGCAGAGGGTATTATAATTTTGGTCAGAAGTTTGTAACGCAGTGAAGGAGACGTTTCCGACCCCATAAAGTATATATATTCTTGATCAGGATCAATAGGGGAGTCGATATAGCCATTTCCGTCTGTCCGTCTGTCCGTCTGTATGTCTGTTTCAATACCGTTTGCGAGCTCAGTTTAAAAGCTAGCGCCTTGAAACTTTCACAGTCGTCCTAAAACATGTGTACGCAGATCAAGTTTGAAAGCCGACCCGATCGGACGTCTATATCCTATAGCTCCCATAGGAACAATCGGATATAGATTTCACAAAATGAAGATATTTCGCTCAGTGTAAGAGCTATTGACAAGAATCTTTCCAAATCGTATTTTTTTGTGCGTACCTTGATCAGGGTAAAAGCGCGTGCCGATCGGACGTCTATATCTTATAGCTCCCATAGGAACAATAGGGTGAAATCGGTCAAAATTTGTCGTTTTTCAGGATATTTCGCGTTGAATATAAGCTATTCCCATGAAACTTTCCAAATCGTATTTTTTTGTGCGTACCTTGATCAGGGTAAAAGCGCGTGCCGATCGGACGTCTATATCATATAGCTCCCATAGGAACAATAGGGTGAAAAATTTTTAATTTTTATTTTTTTCAATTATAGAATATTTTGTTGTTTATTAATTCATGTTGCTATTTTAGTCAAGTTTTCATTCGTGAAATCTGCAAGGATATTAAAACTTCGGCTTGCCGAAGTTAGCTTCCGTCCTCGTTAAATATGAGGATGTATAACTTTCAGGCTCATATCAGTTTAAGATTATTTCATGTAAATTTAACCTTGAAACGTGTTGTATGAGGCAGTGGGTCATGAAGCTGATAAGAAATACTATCAATAAACAACAAGGGGTTGAACTAAACGTATAGCTGGGTGCGCATAGAAATCTTGCTACATTGTAATACAAATTCAATATTAGCAGCCAAACCTCTAGTAGTCCATAAATTATTTTAATTATTTCTAATTTACATATTACTTACCATCATCGGCTATCTCTGGAATAGGACGTTGTTCCAATCGCATGTCCTCAATGCCATGCAGCACTGCCGTAAGATTATCCTTGGCCATTTCTATGCTTCGAGCGAATTTAGTGTGCGCACTAACAACCAGACGCTTGAAAAGCCGATTCGCAACTGATTCAAATATTTTAAAGCTTACATTAGTGGACCTCTCATTTCGCGACTATCAGTTAATAGTCTCTGTGACGTAGGTGACACTGATAGCGATAGGAAACTAATCGACACCACACCCACCCTCAATTGTGGTCAAATGCTATCAACATTATCACCAACACTTGAACACAGCTGTTCCGATATGATTGTTTACATTTTTATTGCAGTGTAGTAAAGGGTATACTAAAATTGTGCAATGCTATAATCAGAAACCACTTTCAAAATTAAGATAGATAGCTTAGCAGGTCAAATTTTAGAACGTTAAATGATTTTTTTATTAACGTTTTAGTTAGTTGATTTTCGCGTTTGAATTTCTGTTATTTTTGAGCATTAGACGTCTCTAGCGAGCATACATCTATTGATAGGCTATCTCCGTAGTTCATAAGCACATTGGGATTAGTATTGAACATATGGATTTTTAATTTAAAATAAACGCCATTAAGACTGATTTATCATCTATCAATGCTTGTTTAATTAATGATGCAGAAGCAAAATAGTTGACAAGGCGTTTATCAACAATTTTTCTTAAAACCGAAAAAGTAACGATGTAATTGCGGAATAACGCATACTACTACCGCGAGTCACAAATATTTGTAGGCTACTCAATCATACAATATGGTTAAAAACATCTAGGTACAGCACTAGGCGAAAGCATTTAAAGTTTGAGCACATTTTTTAAACTGTATTGTACATACCTTGACTAATATTTATCATAATTTAAATAAAAGGAATCCTAAATAACGAGACTTTTGCTGTGTTTCAGAAAAATCAAGGCACTCCCAATCTAGTTCGTTTAGCTGATTTTAGAGGGCTTCCAAGAATACGTAACAAAATATGTTTAGACTTTAAACTTTATGCCAAAAAAAGAAGGAAAATCATCTCAATATGGTGATGACGGGTTTCCTCATATAGATAAAATTATAACACAAACAAAATATAAAAACCAGAGACTATTGTCATTATTACTTTGATACGTAACAGAGTAATACCATTTCTAAGTTCGCTTTATTCTAGATTTTGATTATCATGTAATATTTAATTGCAAGGCAAAAAAAACCATGATTAACGGTAACTAGTCGTATGAATAATGCTTCTATAAATATTTTAACATTACGTTAAAGGCATAAGTCTAATTAATATTTAATATTTTTCTATGATTTTAATGATGTAAAAAAAATTCCCATTTTTTCCGGCCCACTCGGCGTATAAGTAATATTAAACAAAATGTTCAATAGTACAAATTTGTTCCCTTCTAGGAAATATATCAGCAGCTTATAGCTTTCAAGTCCTGGCTGGTCCGTTTAGAACTGAGTAGCAGATCAAAACACCCCGCTAATGTCCTTCTATGTCAGGCCTGTACTTTCCTACAAATAGGGGATGTCCTCAATGTGTCATTGCGGACATTTAACAGAACATCAAAAGTGGTTGCGCCATAAATAAGCAGACCCTAACTTTGACCCCACAACTAGTTCACATCCACCCACATCCAGGATCTTTTGGTTCTTCTGGAACTGAACCATTTGTAATTTTTTCCTCGGACAATAACAACGACAAACAAATTTTAGTCCACTTCTGTTTTATGGCAAATTAATGGAGCGACATGTTGCCCATGTTCGCAATGGAACTTCACTCCGTGCACTCGAGCCTAGCAGGTGGCCCCAGCTTCTGCCCACTCCACCCACATTCTCCCCCTCGGAGGCAGCCCACATCCCTTCTTTTTAACCTTGGCTTCACACATGCCGAATAAACATGGTTTATGGCGCACCCTAAAAGAGGGTATTATTCCATATTTTCACATTGCTGTAAATAAAAAAAAACATTTTTTAAGGTAATTTAAGTGTATAATTAATGACCTTCAGCATTTTTAAATTCTAATTTTCGGTAACAATTTGTTTCCTATTAAAAGGATTTTAAAATATCCATAAATATATTATTTTTAACACATTCTTATGCTTCTGCATGTGAATTTTCATAAAATCTATCACTTGAAAAGCATAATTCTTAAACTTTGGAAAATATAAAAATGCCTTTTCCGGGGTATTTCAATTGTTCAGTCTCTGAGCTTTGTTGTCTTTTTGTTTTAGTTGTTGCTACTGCTGCTGTCACTGATGTCGATTTTGTGCAGGCTGTATGTTTGGGTGTTGCTTTCTTTTGCCTTCGTTATGTGTTGGCAGGATGGGCTAACATATTGGACATTTATTATTTTTCGTGAGTGTTTTTGCTCGTCGAGTAAATTATGGCGGTCCAATGCGGGTGGATGTGGAGCAAAGCTTTAGCTCTCACCAGAGATGGGAAGTACCAGTGTTCGCTGTGTTTAGGTACCAATTTTTTATTTTTATTGACCTTTAGGTGATACCAGACAAATAAAATATTTTTTATTAAATATTGAATTTAACATTGGATGAAGAAATAATTGTCATTGATTTAATGATTTAATAACAGCTTTTATATTTTTAAAAGGAACATTTTTTTTTATATTGTGTTGGTACATTACTGAACGATAGTAATTTTGCATCACTGAGTCCTATTATTTCTTTATTTTTCCTGAACGCCTCCCTTACGAATTGGCTGTTCCCAGCTGCTACGTTCTGTCCGGTTTTTACCCGCGAAACGTTTAGCAGGCTCAGATTAGATCTATATTAGTTCCGTGCCCACTGATAAACCCGCCGGAATGGAATCCGATTCAAATAAGAGCGATGAAGGGCGGGGTTTTGTGGGTGGAGTCGCGTGGGTGCAGGCGTGGCAGTGTTGCAGGCGTGTTAAATTAATAATTGCATAAATTTTACATGTGCTGTTGCATGAGTTATGAACGAAACGGCATAAATCGCGAATAATGTGCACACTGGCCGTGCGAATATTTATGGGCGTAACTGTAAATCATCAAACCATAAACGCACTTGCAACGCCAACACCAAGCGGACACACTCATAAAAATAATTTTCTACATTTTAGAAAATCACCCTAAAAAATTTTTCGCCTTTGAACTGAGAAAAATTTTCTATTTTTACGACAAATTTGCCATAAATTTAAGGCAGGTGACCATAAAAAAATATTTTTAGGGTTAATTTTTCTATTTTTCTAATATTTAGGGCGATTTTTTTCGATTTGCTTCGTTTTGACCTTTTCTAAATCCAACGGCGAATTGCCCTAATTTTTTTTCTAAAATTTTTCTAAATACAAGGGCGATTCGCCTTAAAAATCACTCCAAAAGTGTGAAATTCGGTAGCCCAGCGGTCTAATCACTTGCGCTTTCAACTTTGCTATATGAGGACTAAGGTCGTGGGGTTGTGGGTTCGAACCCTGTGTGATTCAACTTGATTTTTATTTATTTTTTTTTTTTGTAAACATTATAATACTGAGGACATTTTTTCGTCCGAATTTTAAATTATAGTAGTCTTTAAACCTTAAAAACGTATGAGAGTTCTGAGTTAAAAGCATACTTTGTGTTTGCGGGCAAGAAAACGGCCCTAAGGCTCAGACGACACATTCAATTTTTAACGTCAATTTATTGTAGCAATTTTTCCTTAATGGGACTTTGTACGAGCGCGAGAAAGAATCAAATATTTTTGGCTGCTCTACCACTAACACCAATTATAAAGGCACGATATCATATTAATCCTGACCCGCTTGCACTTCTTTAAACTCACACAAACGAAAAATTGTCACAATAAATTGAGGCTAAAAATTGAATGTGTCATCTGAGCCTAATTGACACAGTCGTCAGGAAAAAAAATATACGGTTTAGTTGCCTTTAGTCATATTATAACGTAGACCTCAAGAAAATAAGATGTGTGCAGAGTTTGTTCGTCGTCTTGCGCGAGGGGTCTGTGGTGCAGCGGTAGAACGTTAGACTCTAAACCGAGAGGTCGTGGGTTCGATTCTCGCAATGACCAAAAAAAGTAAGTTGTTTTTTCTCCTCATATTTATTTCCCTAATTCATTTACAAACATGATTTTTCAGTTCTAACGGCTGTGCTGTATAGATCGGGCCCCCCTCTTAACGCGGCTCCCATATAAGCTACACACCAATACAATAATATGAAACTGTGTCCTCCGCCGGTGTTGTTTAATTAAAGCAGTCCCAGTTCCCAGAATATAGACGATTAAAAAAAAACATGCTTCCCAAATTCAGTTAAGCATGCTCAAACACGATTTTTTTTAATTTGTCTAATTTTTTAGGGCATTCGCCTATAAAAACAGAAAATTCGCCCTTAATTTTAGAAAAATACACCTTAAAATTAGGGCAAATCACCCTAAAAACAGGAAAATATTTCTTATTTCAAGAAAAATCACCCTAAATTAAACCAAATTTGCATCGGGATTTTTTAGAAAATTTTTCTAAATACACGGGCGAATCGCCAGCGGATACGATTTATGGGCGATTTTCTAAATCCACGGGCGAAAAGTCAGTTTTTTAGGGCGATTTAGGGTAAAAATTTCTATGAGTGCACTATATGCACCGATCCTCTCGACCTTTTGTGCTCTTTCTATTTAGGGTCAGGCACTGAGAAAAAATGTTGTCAAGTTTACGATTAAATCTGAATTTCATATTGAAGACAAATACGTATCAATTTATACATTTTTTCCAATGTTTTTGTACTTCTTATTTTTCAAATTTTTAATCGTATTGCTTTAATTCCCAAAATAATATAAATTTATTGCGTAATTTATTTATTAAAGTCTTTGAGTCTTGAAGATACATTTTTTAATAATGCGCTCTGAAAAATTGTTTTTCAGTGCTGAAATTCATACTTAATAATATTTATTTAATAGTAACCTATCTTATGGCGGTGAAAATCAGAGGAGCTTCACAAGTCGAATCGTTTTTATTAAAATCTGATGCGAGTGTTTATCCGCTTGGCTAGCCATTCCGTTTGCCATTTTAAATTTTCGAAAACTTTATGATGACAAATGCATGAACTTAATGAAGTTGCATAATTGTTAAAATACGATATTTAATGAAT